TGGCCGATGAAAACAGGAACGCAGCGTATGGCCGTTACTCTTCAAAATGATTTATCTAAATACACCTGCTTGACTGTATTTGGGTTACAATTAGTAAATAGGACTTTCGAAAGCCAAAAAAATATACTCGGGCTTTTGAATAAACGTAAATATCACGAAAAGTATTTTGACGTCTTTTAAATAGCCGAAATTCTACTACGTGAACGAATACGTTGTGATGTTCGGCGCGTTGCTTGGCCGCGCGTTGTCTCATTGTTTCGTAAAGCCTTGCGGTAAGTTGTCGCTCGTTGGAAATGAGATTCTTTATTTTTAAAGTGCCGACTATATCATTTGTTCCAGTAATGTACGACAGCGCTTATACCTAAATGCCTGCATATGCACATTTACATTTATAAATGCAAATGTAATGTAAATGTATACATTTACATTTAAGGCATGAGCATTTTTTAATTATAGGTCATTGTTAAATAGACATGCTCTAACTACATTGGGTTACACTGGGTAACAACACAATCGAACGATGGCTCATCATCTAATTACTCCAAATTTTCCCCAATTAAATTGGTAGCTACCGCTTTTGAGCGATTATTTTCCGACCCTATTCACAGTCCTAGAACGAACACAGTGCTGTGGAACAGGAAAAATCTCACACCAGACAGACGGCGGGCATCTAGTAGTCAACAATGTTTTACAGTGTCCTAAACATGCGTATTTTCAATTGTTATTTGTAACTTGGTTGCAAGCAGATGCAACATTTCACAATGATCATGCACATTGCTACGAATATTCAACCGTTTCACCAAACCAGCCATAAATTAGCAACTTATCCCTTTACTCTGATTAATATTTAAAACAGCGGGAGATAGTCGCAAACCACAGTCTTTATCTGCTATCCATCTTTTTCTCGGATAACATGCTAGCTTCTGTTTATGCCTACACTAATGTCCCAAACGTTCAGGCTCGTGCACAGCTAGTAGTGTTTTGACGAACTGCTCATAGCCTGCGACGGGCACACCAACGAACTTCGGAACGGCTAGTGCCTGTAGGACTTAATAACAAGAGTAATTCTAGCCACAGACTGACCGTAGTGTTTAGGTCTGGGCGATTGTGATGTTAGTAGACTTGGCAGGTGGTATGCGTGCATTTAATTTAATTTGGTGAGGGTAATAGACTGCCTTTGAAAACCTTATTGTTTATGTATGCATTTGAAGTTTTCAGGGACCCTTGGGGAACCGGGGTTAAAGTTATTTTAACAC